TCTAAAGACCTTGGTTGTTTGTAATTCGATGCTATCAGGTGGTTGCATAACCTTTCCCACTGGGAAGCCGGCTCTTCATCCCGGGCTTCCGTCCGCCTCGGGGGAGGGGCAGGGGCGGGAAAAGCCAGGGGTGCTGCGGGGTGAAAGGGCAAGGGACAGGGGACCCAGGTCTGGGCTGCAAGGCTCACTTACGTGAGGGTTTCCTTCTGCCAGCCTTGAGAAAGCAAGACCAGCCCCTCCCCTTCCTCTTCCTCCTCAGCTCCTCAGGACGAAGATGGTCCACTTCCCCTTGATGAAGAGATACAGTTTCTCTTCCTTAGGACTTTCTTTCTTTCCTTCTTTCTTTCTTCTTTTGAGTAGGAGTCTCACTCTGTCACCCGGCTGGAGGGCAGTGGCACGCTCACAACCACTGCAGCCTCAGCCTGCTGGGCTTGGGGGAGTCCTTCCGAGTAGCTGGAACTACAGACATTCGCCACCATGCCCAGCTAGTTTTTTGACTTATTGTAGAGACGAGGTCTCATCAAGTTGCCCGGGTGGGCTCAAACCCGTGGGCTCAGGCAATCCTCTCACCTCGGCCTCCCCAAGTGCTGGGATTATAGGTGTGAGCCACCGCGCCTGGCCCCTTATGACTTTCTTGATAACATTTTCTTTTTCTCTAGCTTACTTTTTTGTAAGAATGCAGTCTCTGCTGCGTGTGACATGCAAGGTACGAGTTTATTGGCTGTTTGTGTGGCCAGTAAGGCTTCTGGCCAACAGTAGGCTCTCGGTGGTTATGTTTTGGGAGTCAGGAGTTGTCCGTGGATTTGCGGCTGCACAGGGCCGTCTCCCGCACCCTCCGTGTTTTTCGAGGCCAACTGTACCCTCGTTTCCCCGCTTCCTGGCTGAGGTGCTTGGGCCGGAGGGAGGCCAAGGCCACATGGTTGGAGGGGTGGCCCTGGAGTCAGAACTCAGATCTGCCTGCCCCGGGGGAGTCCCCCTCATCCCTCTCCTAATCCTCCCCAAGCGTGGTCCTCAGGCCGCGGACATCAGAACCACCTCGACTCAGAGCCGCAGAGCCCAACCTCAGACTTATTAAATTAGAGTTTCCGGGGGGAGTACCCAGGAATCCAGATTCAAGCCAGTCACATCCTGGTGATTCCACCATGGAGGAGTTTGCAAACCCCCTCATTCGCAGCACTGCCTTTCTGACTCAGTGGAAGACGGCCGCGGGGGCCCGGCCAGAGAGGCCGCGGTGGCTCCGCGTGGGCCGGGGGCTTTCCTCGGCCTGCTTGGCTTGGTGCATCATGGGAGGCCCCTCACTTGCGTTGCCTGGGAAGAGCAAGTAAGCAGATCTGTGAATCATGGTTCTGTTTATATTTTGGTTGCTGAGGCTAAATATTTATTGCTTTAAGTAAGAGGTTCTGCTTTAATGGGAGTCATAACTAACCGCAAGGGCATCGAGATGCCTTCCCCTAGCCATAAGACATGCGTTTCTCGACAGAAAGCCAAAGACAGCTCTCACTTTTCGTGCACCCGTGCCGATCAAAGTAGGAAGACTTGTCTAAACTAAAAGATTGCTTTGGCAGTTGAACAGTGACTGGCAGTTTAGTTTATCAATTAACCATTGTTCTTCCTTGCTGTAACTTGCAGTGTCACATCGAGGATGGTCTGGCAATAAAGGTGTCAGGCGTGGGCAGTACCAAGCCCGTGGCGATGAAAGGCATAAGCTGTGTCGAGTCTGAACCCTGCCTTGCCCTTCTCCCGACCCCTCCCCCTTGCCCTCCGCCCCATTCAATCACCAACAGAGCCCAGGCCACCCGAGCCACAGTCTCTGGGAGAGAGACTTTGGCATGGGCATTTCTAAGACGCTCCCCTAATAATTCTAATATGTGCTCAGGGATGGGAACCACCGCCCTGGAAGATTTGGTGGGTGTGGGTGCTGACTGTGCAGTTAGACTGAGATTCAAATGGCTGTGCCATTTGCTAGCTGTGTGCCCTTGGGCAAATTACTTAACCTCTCTAAGCTTGGTTTCCTCATCTGAAAAATGGGACTGAGAGTGTCTAGCTCAGGCTGTGTGCAGTGGCTCAAACCCGTCATCCCAGCACTTTGGGAGGCCAAGGCGAGAGGATTGCCTGAGCCCAGGGATTCGAGACCAGCCTGGGCAACTTGACAAGACCTCGTCTCCACAATAAATCGAACACGTAGCCGGGCATGGTGGTGGGTGCCTGCAGTTCCAGCTACTTGGAAGGCTGAGGCAGAAGGATCGTCTGAGCCCAGCAGGTGGAGACTGCAGTGACTGTGAGCGTGCCACTGCACTCCAGCCTAGGCGACAGAGTGAGACTCCAACTCAAAAAAAAAAAAATAGTGCCTGACTTGAAAGGTTGCCATAAAGATTCAGTGAGATAATGCAGGGGAGGCACTTAGCATTATGCTGAGGAGAACTTAACTTGGTACTTAGTAAGGGCTTGATCAATAGAAGAGATTATTGTTATGACTGTTATCACTGTCTGTCACTTGGGTGGGTTTCCACTGGCAGGAGCAGGTGTCCCTGAAGAGTCCTGGGGGGCCGGGAGTTGCTGTCCTGGAATTCAGCCTTGGCTGGCGCACAGCAAACTTGTTCGACACAAGCCAATGCATCTGATAATTCGACTCTACAGCCCTGGGGACTGGCAGAGAACGCCTATTGCATCTTTGTAAGCTTTGTCCACTCCTAGCAGGGCCAGTGAGAAATTAGGATTTGGAGCAAGACAGTATCCACGCTGTGGATGACAGGTAATTATTTGGTAACCGCTCACTCACCCTCTGGACTCCTTCAAGATGAGCTCCTTTAGCACACAAGGCCTGTGGGCCTGGGCCCATTCACACGGTCAAAGTGGATACGCGTGTCTTTCTGTGGAAGCCGGGGGGCCGAGGGACAGCGGCACCAGCCAACGAGTCTCCCCAGCAGAAGGAAGGACTGGCCTGGGAGGGGCCCCACCGGGGGCTTCTCTTCGCCGGTCTGTCTCTCTCCTCTTAACTCTGAATCTTTGCGAGTGAGTTGTCTACTTTGTAGGTGATACACGGTTTACAGCTGTCGGAATTCTTCCGAATCTGTCCAGCTTTCAACTCTTTGCTGGAATAAGACAAACACGTTGAAAGAGCTGTCTCTGAAAAATGTGCTAGGGAGTCAGTCACTGACAAGAGAGCGACACAAAAAGGTTGTGGCGAGCAAGCGGAATCCCCGTGGCGAAAAACAACGCGGGTTTATTAACCGGGGATCAGTTTACCCTTCTGGAAACGCCCTGGAGGCAGAGACCAGATCCCGTGTGCTGACCCTGGGCCCATGGCCTGCCCCCCTGCAGACACAGCTCCTGCCTCCTGTGGCCATCAGAGACAATGGCTTGTTTCTTGACACTGAAGTCTTCACCTTTCCTTAGCATCTGGTCTCAAAGGTTAAACCATTTGAATGCTGGGCACCATGGACAAGCAAATAAACAGCTTCAAATTCTCACCCACCCATGCCCCGACCTTCCACGCAAAGGCCCATCACGGGGGCAGAAGTGTCCAGAAAGCCCCAGCCCATGCCACTGAGGATGCACTCTCCCAGCTCTGTGGCCTTAGGCTGGGACGTGAGTCACATCCCAGAGCCACGTGGACGTGTGTTATGCCTGCTGCAGTTCTGGATTTCCTGGGCTGTGTGTGAGTAATTGGAGGGGACTATATGTGTTTATGGAGTCGCGGCCCTGGGTGGAAAGAATGCCTTTGAGAAACGCTGGCCTACATCAAAGAGTTTCTCACTCGCCTGCAGAGACTCCAGTGGGTTTTTCGAGGCCCCCCCTTAAATGTAAACGGCCCCTAGGACGTGAATTGTTTCGTGTTTGCTTCTTACTTCAACACTTGGGGGACTCCAGTGAGGGTTATGAAAAAGACTCAAGAATGCTGAGCATTTCCGGTGTGGTGTGCGGGCCAGGGCCATCAAAGCTTCCGTGCACAGCAGTGCTAGTGCAGAACGACAAACGCCTTTGTCCTGTTCCTCCCCGCGGCCCTCCCTTCACAACTACTTTTATTATTCACACCAGCCAAGCAAAGGGAAGTTGCATGACCGCGGTGTGTGCAAGCCACGTACGGCACTTGCCCTGGAAGGGCTTTCTACACGCTAACTCTGTGGAATCCCTGGCCCCTGGCTCAACCAGGATGAGGGTGGGGTGTGTGTGGGAGTGGTGGGGACGGTCATGGTTAATTCAACGCAACGTGCATTCAGGATGTTTCCATAAAGCATGACCTCATCTCTTCCAACCCGCTGGCCATCCTTGCACTGGTGGTCACTTTTGACTTAGTGGTTACACAAGTAATTCCTTTAATTACCAAAGTGGAAATTCATAGATTGCACGTAGTTGGTTCTAACCTTCCCAGGAGGCAAGGGGTTGGAGCGCTTACTGACGCTGTCTCCATAACATCAGAACAACTCATCAATTCAGGGAAAAACAAAACAAAGCAAAACAAAATAAAGCAATAAAATCCATGTCAGATCAGTTGCTGAGTGCTGGGCAGTTCAAATAGCTGGGGAAGTTTTCCCCTTTATCGCTTTTTAAAGAATTGTATGTTCTCACCCTAAACAGGCAGTCACGTTATGATCAGTAGGAAGACAGACAGATTCGTTTATTCAGCAAAGATCGTTAAGCACCTATGACGTCTTGCGTGAACAAGATCAATGACGTCTCATGGTGCAGAGACACATGACAAGCAAGTCAAGAAACATACCAGAACCTTGATAGCAGTGAAGGTCTCACGAAAGCAATGAGGGACGTGATTTAATAGAGCCACCGAGGCAACTGTTTCCATGTGAACACCAGTAAAATAAAGCATACGTTGAAAGACATTGGCTAGTGGGGGAAATATCTGGTTCTCAGAAAAGTCACTCCTTTGTTGGGGTTACCGGAAAGGGTCACAGAGGGACTGATCTCCCAGAGACCAGCTTTCGGTGAGAAGGAGTCTCGAGCCATCACCACTGAAGAACCAACCGCCTCCCTTTCTCTCACAGGGGGAAGTCCAGCCAAGCAGACGACCTGGGAAGGAGGGCATCGGGTCCCGGCACTGGCTTACTGGCCTGGCAGAGTCCCAGTCAACGTCACCAGCACGGCCTTGTTAAGGTATGAGACCCAAACGAACTACCTTGAGATGCTGGGGGTATAGCAAGGGAAGTCAGGGACGCTTGGGAGGCTGGAGGCCTCGGGAAGCTCGTTAACCACCTGCCTTTGCCGGGAGGTGCCAAACCTTCCGACGGCCGACAGTAGCAGCTGGGGGGGGGGGGTAATAGTGCTGCGGGACTTAGGCAGTCCTCTGGGGATAATGCCTGAATGAAGAGGGGATTGGGTGGGTTTCTCATCCACCAGTGTGGAGTCCTGACTGCGTCTGCTAAAGAGAAGAATTGTTGCCCCTGGCCTGGCTGACGAGGGGACTAGATCACTGGAGCCCTAATCATTTCATCCTTGGGGTTAAGGCAGGTGCCCTAGAGGTGGCGTGAGAAGCTAGCATGTCACCGGCGATCCAATGGTCCCAAGAAAGGAGTTTAGATGTCCACTTGCCTTGGAGGGAAGGGAGAAGAATGAATCCTTAGGTGAGGACATTCTACCTTCCTCTGGCAATGAAGCATCTGCAGTGAAGGGAGGCTCTGGGTGCTTCCTTTATTAGGAGGGCCATGGTAAGTGTGCTGTCTCACCACCACTTTTGTCTCTGAAGACACAGGAGGCAGCCTCTATGGTAAAGAACCTGACTGTGGTGGGTCCATCTGAGGGCAGCGCCTTTACAGCTACGTAACCATTCCTTATAATGGGGATATCTTAACTAATTCAGACAGGGGCTTCCTGTCCATGGCTCTGCCCTGTGTTCACTAACCAGGGGGACCCTTGGAGAATTGTTCGTGTTCTCAGAGATTGGGTCTGCTTTATTAAATTTCTTAGTTTCAAAGGTTCTTTGCCACTAGCCCTATGAGTTCTGACATAAAGAACACAGCCGAGTAGGGACAGGCAGGATTTGTTGGCATCAAGCTTCCCTGGATCCAATGCGGGGAGGGGGGTGATTCAAGCCCGGGGAGAAAGGGTCAACAGCTCTGATGGCCAGAGTAGGGGATGGGCGGGCATCACCGCTGGCAGCCTGTGGGCCCCCAGGAACTCTGGGCCAGCCCTGTACAATCAGGAGGGGGCAGCATGCTATCAGCAGGCACCAGCAGGTGTGGCAACAGCGGCATGGCCTGGAATCTGTGATGTCAGGCTGCCTGGGAAAAGGGCCAGGCAGGCTGCTTTTTATAGGCCCGACTTGGTGCAGTCAAAATGCTTATCTAGAGGGGCCAAGTGTTCACGGGTTGGGCTGCACGTGCACAAATAACTCAGCAGTCTCTCAAGGGATGTCGCTTCTCGCTGGAGAGCGGTGTTTGTACCTACATTCAGCTGTGGCACCATTCCATCACATTACATCGTCTCATCGATCATTCAGAGCCTCGGAGGTGACAACGGACCGAGGGGATGGTTGGTGACCAAAGGAAGTGAGTTCTTGGTACGAGGTAGCATCTGCCTAAGAGCTCCTGGAATTCCACCAGGACAACGCCAATACCCCATCTCGGTGCCGCTCATGACTTCTTTGGGAGGATAAATTAATCCAGACCGCAGCCTGCCGGCCTGCCTCCACAGGGTCACCCTCCTGCTGTTACCCGAGTGAGTCCGTGTCAAACAGGGTGGGTAGGTCCTCCTTACTGCCCGGACAGGCCGCTTTCCGCACCGGCCTGTGGCACAGCTCTCCTGAGGATGGCATTATGACCCAGATGCAAGAAACGGTTGCTGACACTCCATGCTCTTGGGAGCCCAGCCCAGCACTCCCGCTCAGACTGCTCATCTCCTCCCCTGGAACTTTGTTCCTCAGAGGAACATGGGTCTTCTTCCAGATCAGAGGTCATTCCCTTAAGCCACCAAAAGCTAAGGCCAGAGTTTCTGAAACCCATATTCCAGTGGCCCTGAGGAATTCTGGGTGTCAGAGAGTAGCCAAGTTTTGTCAACACTCGTGTGAACACAGAAGAGCGAAAAGGAGGTGTGTGGGGGTGGAGGGAACACACCCATCCTCCTGGCTGCGGGTTAGAGAGAGCCAGCGTTAACATTCGGTGTGCGCCTAGGGATGTCATAGGATTAAAGAGAGGTCTTCCACGGGACCTGTTCCAAAGCCTGGTGACGCAAGGACAGAATCGGGACCACTCATTCATTCAACAGGTGTTCACTGTTGTGTGCCACTGTGGATCACACCTTGCTGCAGGCCCAGGGAGGCAGTGGTGAAGGACCGGGTCCCCCTTGGCACACTGGTACCTCTGTTCTTTCTGAAATCAGTGCTGTTGGGGCCATGCTGGTCTCCACGTGGGACCTGTGGTGGTGGGTGCCATGGAAGCTGCCCCCAGATGTGAGCGTAGACCAGCCCCTCCCCTCTCCACAGCACGGCTAAGACCAGGAGGGGCTGGGGCCTGGCTATCCTGGGGATAATGACAGGGAATAGCAGAGCAGGAACAAAATTAAAACTAAATGCATAGAGAAACGTACAACTCGGCGCTGAAAAGGAGCCGCTCCCGCGTCCCGGGGACGACTTCGGCTCTTCCACAGAGGACGGTCCTCTTTCCACACCCTCACTGGTCCAGGCCCTCTGTCCAGGGATCCCTGATCACCTCCTGCTCACTCTACATTTTTCCCCAGATCGCGGGTCCTCAGCTTCTAGGAAATGTCCCGCCCTTCTGTCCCCTGCCTTGGCCCAGGACACACTCCTTCCCGGGGCCACCTGGTACGGCCTGCAGTTCCCACGCCTGCACGTCCTGGAGTCCAGTCTGTCCGGAGCGAGCCGCTTTGCGGCCTCCGCTCCCCGGCCTCCTGCCTGCAGGCTTCCCGCCACTGCCCGACCTCCACGGCCAGGCTCCTGTGGCACCTCCTTGGATGAGAACACAGATGCGCACGCTTCCTGCAACCACCTTTCAGAGCCTGGGCCGGCCGCGGCCACAGGGAGAAAAAAGGAAATATTTTCACAGGGACAATGCAGCCTGCAAAGACGTCACCCCGCCCACGTGTGTCAATTGCAGAGCGTCTCAGCTCTCTCCTTTCGTGAGTCGGCTCTTGGCTGCCCGCCTCATGGCCAAAAGGCCCACTGAGGTGGGGTCTCCTCCCTTCAGAAGCCGGGGCCCCCTTTCTCTACCAGATTCACGAGGTGCAGTGCCAGGGCCCGTGAGACTTGGGGAATTTCTAGTTTCTTTTAAAATCCAAAGGAAAAAGGATGTTTAGGTGGAACAAATGACTTAATACACACTATTCACATAGTCAACTTTACAGCCATGCCGTCATAGAATACCCTTTTTACTTTTTTTTGGTTTTTTACGGAGGAAGAGACCATGAGAGCCGGAGTGACTGGGTCCTGTGAAAGCCCTCTGCCGCTCTGCCAAAAGCTGGGGGCTGAAACGCACAGGAGAAACTGGAATATGTGGGTCTGGGCTTTGGTTTCGTCTCTTTCTCCAGGGCTTTGAAGACCCCGAGGCCCAACTTTGCAGGGGGGGTTGGAGGCTTGGCGTCGCTGGGGTGCCCTTGCCAGCCTTTGCAGGAAGGATGCTGCCTCCAAGCTCACATGCAGGCTGGGGCCCCGCCCTGGGATGGCATCGGCAGCGTGTGCTGGGGGCCTCCCCTCACCCAGGGCTCAGCCCAGGGCTTGGCTGCTCCCATTACCTGAAGAAGGGCTTTTGGACAGCCCAAGCTCTCCGACGCTGGACGGGGCCGCTGAGCACCTGAGTCATTGGTCATGTTGAGGCTTCTCTCGAGGGCAAGATGCTCTCCTTTGTGCTCCGGGCGGACTGGGAACCCCTGAGGTCCCCACCCAACTCTGAGACACCAGGCTTCCGTGAGCGTCAGACTCAGCGCTCTATCATTTGGGTGCCAAACCTCAGAATAGAGGGGAAAAAGACAAGATGGAAAAGGAAAGTGCACAATGCTTTCCAAATCTAACCCAGATCCTGTTTCTCTTGCTCACCGACTGGGCCCATCTGTGATGCTCGTCTCTCTCGGGGCACCGTTTAGAAGAAACATGAACAAAGAGCCCCAAACCACCGTGCCCTTTTCAGACTGCTTTGTGGCCCCCTTTGCCTTCTGGTCTGTGGCAGGAGCCTTGGACTCCGGACAGGTTTCTGGACTGTTCTCTGCTCTGTGGGTGCTGACTCTGCATTCCTTGACTGCATTCGTGTGGGAGGCTGGTCCTGGAGCCTGTATCTCGAGAGATAAGCCACCAGCTACATGGATGGCGAAAGCCAGAGCCAAACGGAAAGGCTCTGTCCCGTGGTCAAGATCGGGTGTGCGTGCAGGCAGAGGCAGAGCCTGGAGGGGAGGAGGCAGAGCGGCAGGGCAGTCCCTCCACAGCCCCACTGGAGGGCACCGAGCTCCCCTAGACCTCAGAGTGGGGGAGGCGGGGAGGTGCAGCCCTGGAGGCTTCCCCACAGGGTAGCCTGAATTCAGCAGCTGTGCCCAGCCCAGGGATGCCAGGGCCTCTTTCCTGGGGAAGCCTCGCTTCCCGTCGGCCCAGCCCTCCTGGCTCCAGCAAGCCCCATAGACTCTGAGTTGGCCTGGCTCTCAGATAAACAGCTGTTGAAAGGGCAGCGTCTCAGTCCGTCTGCATTGCTACAGAGAAATACCTTCAGCCGGGCTCAGTGGCTCAGCCTGTAATCCCACGCCTTGGGAGGTGGAGGTGAGTGGATGACCTGAGCCTGCGGGTTCAAGACCCACCTGGACAACTCGATGAGACCTCATCTCTACAATAAATCAAAAAATTAGCTGGGCGTGGTAGTGCACGCCTGTAATTCCGGCTACTCAGAAGGCTGAGGCGGAAGGATCGCCGGAGCCCAGCGGGTCAAGGCTGCGGTGGCCGGGAGTGGCCACTGTACTCCAGTCTGGGTGACAGAGTGAGACTCCAACTCAAAAAAAAAAAAAGAAAAGAAATACCTGAGACTGGGTAATCTGTGAAGAAAAGAGGCTTATTTGGCTCACAGTGCTGCGGCTGTACAAGAAGCTTCCACATATGGCAGAAAGCAACTGGGAGCTATAGTGTGCAGAGATCTCATGGCGAGAGAGGAAATGAGAGGCAGGGGAGGTAGGTGCCAGACCCTTTTTAACAATCAGTGTCCGCCTCCCAAACTACTAGAGTCAGAACTCACTCATTATCTTGGGGATGGCACCAAATCCTTAATGGGGGAGCCACTCCAATGGCCCAAACACCTCCCCTGGGCCCCACCTCCAGCACCAGCGTCAAGTTTCATCCTGAGGTTTGGAGGGCCAAATAACCAACCTACATCAGGTAGCCTTTCAGTTCTTGCTGGAGCGTTTTTCCAATGTGAGCACAGTAGGCCAGAGGGGAGATGTGCCCTTCAGCTTTGAAAACGCACCGCACGACTTTAAACCTCACATTCACAAGGCCCGCCGTGTGATCGCAATGGCTGCCTTCGGGGGATGGGCTATGTGTGCATTGCTCTCTCTTTTATATTTCTGGATGGCTTCGTTTTTTCCCAATTTAAGCATTCACTATCTTGTAACGCGCAAAGAGAGCTCAAAGAAAGGAGAGGGCTGTTTCACAGACCTCGGCCTTCAGAACAGAGACCAAAGCTCCGTGAGACAGAGACTCAGGGAATGAAACGTGAAGTGAACATTCCCTTGCAGACAGCTGTCACACTGCGTTCCCTCTGAGTGAACAGCTGTGGCCCAGCTGGCAACAGGTGGAGCCTTCCGTTCTTAGAATGGGCGTCCCCGGGAATCGCGACGACACCGACGTCCAGGGAACGCTTGCCGGGCGCCAGGCCTTCTCCTCGTGCTTCAACCGTCTGGCCACCGACGAGGCTGGCACGGATACAGTGGTCCCCCTGACGCCGCAGGTTTCGGTTCCCTGTGGGCAGCCCCTGCTCAAGAACCCTGCCTGGAAAGTTTCAGAGATAAGCAATCCGTAAGCTGTAAGTCGTGCGGTGACATCTCACACCGGCCCTTCTGTCTCTCCCGGGACACGAGCCCTCCCTCGTCCAGTGGGTCCACACTGCAGACGCTCCCTGCCCATTAGTCACTCAGTAGCCATCTTGGTATCAGGTGGCATCACAGGGCTTGGGCTAAGGAGCCCTTATTTACCCTGGTGGTGGATCCAAAGAGCAAGAGCAGTGGCGCTGGCAGTCTGGAAATGCCAAAGGGAAGCCAGGAAGTGTTTTGCTTTTTTTTTTAGTGACAGTGGGAGTTCTTGACTTACAAGGAAAGAAAAAAAATATGCTGAGGCTGCTAAAATCTAGAGTAAGGACAAATCTTCTACCCATGAAATTGTGAAGAAGGAAAAAAAATTCATGCTAGTTTTGCTGTGGCACCTCAGGCTGCAAAAATTAACAGCCACAGTGTCTGGCAAGATGGGAAAGGCATTAAACATGTGGGTGGAAACGTGAGCAGAAAATATACTGGGGCACGGCAACCAGGCTGAGGACCATCCACGACTGCGGCGTCAACCGAAAGTCTTGAAATGGATCTCCCTGAGACGGGGCAGATGCATTCTATTGCTAGCATCATGCCCGTTTTAGAGAATAGGAAACGGAGGCATTCAGAAGCTAGATGGGTGGCAGAGCTGGGGTCGGAGTCCAGGCCACACCCGGCTCAGAGCCTGGGCGCTGGACGTCTGCACCTTCTGCCTCAAGGAGTGGAAATCTAGGTGGAACCAGAAGGAAAGACAGGCAGGTGGAGAGGGCGGCCCTCGGGGGTGAGGGGCGAGGGCAGGTCGTAAGGGGTGAGGGTGGCCAGCGGCTTGCTCTGGGCTGGGCCGGGTGGCTTGTGACCCTGCAGAGCCAGGAAGGCAGCAGGAGATCTGGGGCCCATGCAGTCTGGTTCCCTCTGCAGCGTGCTGGACATCTTCCCCACCGTGGTGAGCCTGGCCCAGGCCAGCCTGCCCCGAGGCCGACACTTTGATGGCATGGACGCCTCCGAGGTGCTCTTTGGCCGGTCGCAGTCTGGGCACAGGGTAAGTGGAGCTGGTTCGCCCCACACTGGGCTCTCCGGGAGGCAGGGCTGTTGTCTGTCCCCTTTGTGCAAACAGAACCATCCTCAGAGGATGCACGCACGTGGCCGGTGAGACACAGGGCAAGAATCTCCGAGAGGAGAGCCTTTGAGAGGAGCCCTCCTCCCACCCTACACCCCTGAGAGCAATCCAGCGTGTCCATCCAAATCTGGATTTCGCCATTTGGCTTCGGGTGCACGTGCATGAGTGCCCATTTCCTATAACGTACAGTTTCCCCCACATGTATTTAATTGAATGACGTGGGACCCCAGCATGCTGTGTTGGGTGCGAGAGATGACTAGTGTCTGTGACTTGTTGATTGAGAGGCCCCGCTCTGGAATAGAAGCTTCCTGAGGGCAAGGTTCCCAGCTGTCAGGTTCACCGCCGCGCTCTCAGTGCATCCAGCCCACACTCGGTTCACGCGAACTGGATGAGCAAATAAAGAATGAACGAGCTAATAAATGAGCGAAAGACTTCCTGCATGGCAGGCCTGCAAGTCCGCTGTGCCCTGTGTCCTCCGGCTCTGAGGGTCCGGCACCTGCGCGGCAGCTGGTTCTGGACCAAGCAGCCGCTGGCCCCGGCTTTGGGCTTCTGCTTCTCCACCTCGCCCCTCAGTGGATCCGCTTCACACTCGGAAGCGACGGCTGGAATGTCAGGCTGGGTGGCCCTCCTCCGTCATTTCCATGTGTTTCCCTTTTACCCGGAGGAAAAGGAAGAGGAAGACGGGGAGCACGGAGGCCCCTCTGCAAGGCTCCTCAGTCTGGGACCCACCCGCATCTGTTGGGTCTTTGCCAAGGGTCACACGGAAGTGACTCAAATGTGTGCAAGGGTGCAGCTGTGCCTGACGTGCCCCTCCCTCCACCAACCCAGCAAGCTGGAACACGGGCCTCCACGGGCGTCCGTGCTTCCGAGCACGGGAATGCCGTTTTTCGGGGCTGTCGGCGGGGCCTGGAAGGGCCTCCGAGGGGGTCCTGCTCCTTCTGGAGTTTCTGCCCCCCGAACCGAAGGCCTGGCCTTGCCCTTCTCCCGACCAGGAAAGGCCCTGCAGGAAGACGGTTTCCGCTCCAGGCTGTCAGCAGTGTGTGACCCTGGGGAGTGTCCGAGACGTCAGTGGAGGCACTGCGGGCCGGGGGTTTATTGCCATGGCTACTGACAGAATTGGGGTCACCAGGAAGTGCCTCGAGGGCTGTGGCCTCTTCGACTCTGTCGGTCCTGCCTGAGGCTTCCTCGGCGCTCGCTTCCGTCCTCGATGCTGGCCTGCTCTGGCCTCAGCGTGGCGCAGACCCGGGAGCCCCGTCCTGCTCGATGTCTGGCAGGTGAGCCGGGAGCCAGGAGCCGGGAGCCGGGCAGGAGAGGAGCGCCCATCCGGACATCGTCATGGGGTGGGTGGCGCCTGGCCGCTCGGCTGGCCTCAGGGCTGCCTTGCTGCTAACCGCCTGCGGCCCAGAGAGAAACAGCCACATGTGCTGCTTGGGGGATGCCGCTGGTGGCTTCTTCCAGCGTGAGGGACTGGCGCCTGTGGACCACACCCAGCCTCCCAGAGCCGGATTCCTGCAGTGGCGGCGAAGACGTTGGCGCTGAGACTCTGGAGCTGGAGTCCTGAGTTTGGGTTTGGCCTTGTCTGGTCCACTTTCGCTACTGAAGCAAAGGACTGAGACTAGAGACCAGAATGAGTTGTCTCAAGTGGGAATAGCTGTGAGAGAGACCAGGAGGTGAGGACATGCACTCAAATGCTATGCACACGTGCATATGTGTGCATATGTCTAGTCACACAGGTCTGCACACATACATGCATACATACAAGTATACACATGTATAAATATGCGTGGCTATGCACATGCATGCAGACATATCTATATGCAGATATATCTAGACACACACACGCATATATCTATACAAATACACACATGCATGTATAGGTATGTATTTTTAATTTTTTGTTAAATAGAGACGGATCTCACTCTGTTGCCTAGGCTGTTCTCAAACTCCTGGCCTCAAGCAATCCTCCTGCCTCAGCCTCCCAAAGTGCTGGGATTACAGGCACGAGCCACTGTGCCTAGCCCACATATGTATTATTAAATAAAGGCAATATATGTTCACACTCAGAAGTGTCCTGGGTTTACCAGGATTCTGGGATGGGTTGGATTAGAAAACTCTTCCAGTTTCTAGAAGCGCAAAGTAACTACTGGATATTCAGCTCAAAACAGGGTTTCGGCAACAGGGTTCTTTCCTCTTGTGCAAATCAAGTCACCAAGTGGTAAAACAACAGTCACGGGAAGCGAGAGGTGCAATGCCAGCGCTGGGCCGCCTCTTCCACGCCGGATGGTCTTCTCACGGCCCATTTTATCCACCTCTGGGGGCGTCGTGTCTGTGGTGTTCGAATCCAGCAGCAGCTGACCCCGAGCTGCAGTCTTGCATCGGCTCAGGCTGCTGGTTCTGGTCTTGGCCCGCGTCCAGGCAGTGAGGCCCACAAGGAGAGAGGCGAGGCGGAGGAAGGGGAGGGCTGCACAGCCTGGAAGCCCACGTTCCACCTTGTGCTTCCCTGACTCCCAGACAGAAGCTGAAGGTTGTCACGTCACCACTGACCAAGTCATATCTCAGTCCCAGGTCGTCGTGACCGGATCCAAGAGGGACCGGAGAGGTTCTCCCAGCAGTTCTGTGTCTGTCCAGCCCCACTCATCAGGGGCTGCTTGGGTCACGCCTGGAGGCCCTACAGGGAGGCACAGGAGCGGGCGTTGTCGGCTAGAACGCCGACCACTTCTCTCAGGGAGGCCCCTAGTGGTGAAAGGCGTTATCCCAGTGGCTGGCACACGACTGCCAGCCTCAGCAACCCCTTTGGAGATGTGAGCCGTGCGCCGTCCCCCACCCCTGTCAGGGCGAGGGAGCCCACCTCCTGGGGTGCTTACAGAACCTAATATGAGGGGACCCCGCCTGCTTAGAAAACAAAACAAAAAAAAACCAACACACCCAGGGAGAGGCAACCGGGAAGGTAGAGCAAGTTTGCAGAAGATAAAGTCGTCTTTGGAATTCGGACCAGGCCTGTGGGGAGCTGCGATTCGTGCGCGTCCGTCTGCCAACCTCCTTCCCATGCTGACGTAAAGAAGACCGTCGCCATCAGTTTGCTCAAAGGAAGAACATGCATGTCCAAATTCTCCCAAGCCCATTCATGTCTCTGAGAGCTCAGTGGCCCACAGTCCTGCTGCCTCTTGGATGCTGGAAGTTGCCTCTGGTGATGCTGCATAAATGCTCCAAACACGGCAGCCCACCTCATGGAAGGTCTGTTCCTGAGACCTGGATAATATTGATGGTCTGGAGCGGCAAGCCTTGACTCCCACCTTCTGGAAGTCTGAGGGCATCGTGCCTCAGTTGACAATGGGTTTTCTTTTTTTCTTTTTATTTATTTATTTATTTATTTGAGTTGGAGTCTCACTCTGTCGCCCAGGCTGGAGTGCAGTGGCCGCTCCCGGCCCCCGCAGCCTCGACTGCTGGGCTCCGGCGATCCTTCTGCCTCGGCCTTCCGAGGAGCCGGAACTACAGGCGCGCGCTACCACACCCGGCTGATTTTTTGATTTAGTGTAGAGATGAGGTCTCGCCAAGTTGCCCAGGCGGGTCTTGAACCCGCGGGCTCAAGCAGTTCACTCACCTCAGCCTCCCAAGGCATGGGATGACAGGCTGAGCGGCAACGGGTTTTCAAAGCCCCCCACGTCTTGTCGTCCGAAGAGGGAAACAGCACAGCCTGGCTTCCCCAGGGATGGAGAAAGTGAGGGGTCTCAGTTATTGTCCTGTCTGGACGGAGGCTGCTGCCGTCACGTGAGCCCCAGGTGACCGCGGGGACTGTCAGGGGAGCCCAGAAGCAGCAGGTGGTGGGAGGAGCCCATCCCTGCCACATCTTCTCAGAGCTGTGAAATCTGCTGGGACAGCTGTTTGCCCATCCAGCAGATGCTTCTCATTTTTCAAAATGGAAACTGGCACTTTGGGAGACTGAGGCCGAGGATCGCCTGAGCCCAGAGGCGCGAGACCCGCCTGGTGAGACCTTGTCTCTACCCAATAAATCAAAAAATCAGCCGGGCGTGGTAGCGCGCGCCTGTAGTTCCAGCTACTGGGAAGGCTGAGGCGGAAGGATCGCCGGAGCCCAGCGGGTCGAGGCTGCGGTGGCCGGGAGCGTGCCACTGCACTTCAGCCTGGGTGACAGAGTGAGATGCCAACTCCACAAAACCAAAAAACAGAAACCGAATCACATCAGCGCCTTTCCAGCCATCTATACGATTGTGGCTCACACCAGGGCGGCTTCATGCTTCTTGCTTCAATCTACCGACCTAGCGAGGACACTGGCCTTTTATTTTAGATCACAGTCTTCCTTTGGGAACCCTGAATTAGGTGTTTCCATTCTGTGGGGTAACTCTTTATCTATGACCGAGTGAGGAAAGATTTCCTCAGTGCAAGTACAGTGAGGCTGAATCATCGGTGTGGGCGACTTTGTTGAGAGGCGAGAGGCTGTGCCCAGTTCTGGGGAAATCAAGATGACATCTTGTCTGAGGGACAGCTGGGAAATCGACGGTGCTGAGAGGTGAGGTTGCGCACGGTTTTGGGAAAATCAAGATGCCTTCCTGACATCCTTATGTGAGGGACAGTTGAGAAATCGACTTGACGCTGCAGAAGCCGCTTTTCAAAGAGATCTGAAGGTCACCTGCACCCGAATTGGGAATGTCTGTAAAACATGCAAGTCCGGAGGCCCCACCCTGACCCTGGGGGCTTGGGCTCAGGCCAGGCGGCCTCGTGGGCCTGTGACCAGCACCACTACTACACAGGGCCCGGCCCTTGGAAGGCCGCTGTGCTTGGCTCAGAGCTCTGGTGTGTTGTCATGAAATCTCACGTTTGTGAACAAGGTACCCCTGATCCATATTTTACACTGGACCCTGCAAATGACTTAGCAGGTTTGGGCCGAGGAGTCTGACTTCCCACGCAGTGAGAGCTTTCGCCCCCTGGTCACGAGCCATAACCCGCTCCCTTTTGTTAAGTAGCACGATGATGTCTTCATGGGAGCTCCTGGGGGTAGGCCGGTGTGGACTACAGGCCTATGTCCGCCAGTGTGTGTTTGGGGCAGGTGGGGTGCGCGGACGCTGATGAAGAAAGCGGTGCTTTCCAGGCTTTATTAGTAAGTCCTGCCCCTTCTCAGATGCTCTTCCACCCCAACAGTGGGGCAGCTGGAGAGTTCGGAGCCCTGCAGACCGTCCGCTTGGGGAGTTACAAGGCCTTCTACGTGACAGGTGAGTGAGGGCCGCTCCGCCCTGCCTCCCGCGTGCACACCTGGCTGGGGCCCCCGGGGCTCTCGGTCAGGCCTCTGGGAGTGTGGGCTGCCCTTCGTCGAGGGGCTCCCAGCCCCTCTTGACGGCGCCGCCTCCAAACCCAGGCCTGGCAGAAGAGCCCAGCAGAGGCCCCGGGATCACCCATATGCAAATAAGGTCTTTCTACTGTTCACCGAAACTTCCGGGGAGCTGAGCGCGCGCAGCACTTTTATTCCTCTCCTTTTCACATGGGAACGTTTTACATCGTTAGGCTTTAAGTGCCAGTTTGGTGGAACATTAAGTGGAAGCCCAGAGATATTTTAAAGTATAACTTAATTGACAATAGATCACTTCAGAAAATAGACTTTAGAGGTCGATTTAGCAAACAGGCAGAAGTCTCTCTGCTTCTTGGTTCACTCTGTGACCGTCTTACATGTATAAAATGCCACACTGGATCGGGATGCTTCTTAAAGTCTTCCAAGAGCTTCTTGCTGTCAACTGGATTCAGACTCTGCATCCTGGGTCTCTCTGTCGCTCCAGCCTTAATTCTCCAAGAGCAAGTCCCCTCCTTCCTGGCCCCCAGATTAAAATCCCTCTTGGCTTTTCAGGCCCAAATCAGATGCCACTTCAGTGAATAAAACTCCCTCTTATCTTCCCCACCGGCAGGGTTTGGAGGACTCTGATATCAGTCCCATAGACACTAGTCATTTAGGTCTATGTTTTTTTCTCCCCACTAGTTTTAAGCTCTCTCTGACCTTGGAGCTCCTTGAGCTCTCTAAACCTTATTGCCTCGAAGTGCTTAGTACCCTTTGTAGGAAACTTGAAGTTTTTCTAATGAATGAAAATCAAAAAGCAAAATCTGTGACCTAATGCAGATTCCAATTTGATTTAGTTATTTAATGTGGGAGCTCTTCAAATAATTATATAATAAAAAACACAAATTATTTTCCTTGTTGTCAATAAGCGAGCCCGAAGAAAATGTGGCATAGAAACAAAACGATACTCAAGGGATATTAAAAACGTCACAGGAATCTTTGATTCTCTAAAACCTAAACCACACAACAGTCAGATATTTGTTATGCTTTCAGCTGAGAAGTGTCTCGATTAGAGTCCTGAGATTACATTATCTCAGAAGTATGGGACTTGCAGGCTGAGTTAATTTCAGAAGTAACAACCCGGCCAGAAAGCCTTTGGCACCGCAATATTGGAATCGTAAATGTTGCTGTGAAGTAATAGGTCTGTTTAAAATGATCCCAACCAGATAGGAATCGTGATGCCCAGGGGAAGTTTGCTGCTCTGAGGAGTCACTAATCCCAGGAGAGTCAGGGTGGGGAGCCCCGAACTTTCTCAACACAGCAGTGAAAGTCGCCAATAGAATGAAACACAGATATGTCCTGATTCTTCCCCCACGCCCCCATGCTTTTCAAACTGGCATCTTAATGACTCAGAACTGCTCTTGGGTAAGCCAGATGAATTGACAACCACCACATTCAACGAGGGAAATATGTGTTCTTCTATGGTGAGGATATGACGTTATGGTCATGCACTATGAGTGGCCTTAAAAGACAACCAGTCCGTTTTGGTGTGTGGCCAAGAATTGAGGTAACTTATTGTTTTTATCCTTTTTAAGCAATTAACACAAACGTTATACACAGTGAAAGGCATAGCTCTAAAATGTACAGTTTGATGAGTTTTTATAAATGTATGTTCCTGGAGAAACCTCACTTAGTCCTGATGTATTATTATTCTTTTTATATCTTGCCGTATTTGAATTGCTAAGATTTTGTCTATAATTTTCCTTTCTTGTAATGTCGTGTCAGGGTTTGGTATCAGGGTTTTGCTGGCTTCATAAAATGAGTTCAGAAGTATTCTCCCCTGTTTTCTGAAAAGGTTTGTTGTAAGATTAATATTATTTCTTTTATGTTTCATTGACTTTACCTGTGAAACTATTCACCAGATCCAGTGTGAAGATTTAGCCTTATGTTTTCTTCGAAAATTTTTATGATTTTAGATCTTCCATTTTAGGTCTTTGATTTATTTTGAGTTAATTTTTGTATGTGGTAAGGGTTTAGCTTTAGTCTCTTACATGTGGATATGCAGTTTCTCCAACATCACTTGTTGAAAAGACTGCCTTTTCCCCAGTGAATGGCTTTGGCATCCTTTTTAAAAAGCATTTGACCATGCATGTGAGGGACTATTTCCAGGCTCTCTATTTTATTCCATTAGCTTATATGTCTGTCTTTATGCCAGTACCATGCTGTTTTGATTACTGTGGCTTTACAGTGAGTTTTGAAATCAGGAAGTGTGCGTCTTCTAGCTTTGTTCTTTTTCAAGATTGTTTTGGCTGTTCTTGGGATTCCATGTGAATTTTAGGATGAGTTTTATATTTTTGCCAAAAGTATCAATGGGATTTTGATAAAGATTGTGTTGCATTTGCGGATCACTCTGTGTAGTACTGGCCTTTTAACAATACCAAGTCTTCTAATCAATGAACATGGAATGTGTTTTCATTTATTTATGTAGTCTTTAATTTCTTTCAGTAATATTTTGTTTTCATGGTATAAATCCACTTTTTTGCTAATTCCTATTTTATGCTTTGATGCTATTTTAAGTGGAATTGTTTTTGTAATTATGTTTTCAGATTGCTTATTGTTAGTGTATAAAATGCAACTGATTTTTGTGTATTGACTTTGTTTCCTGCTATTTTGCTGAAGTCATTTATTAGTTCTAACAGGATTTTTTGTGTATGGAATCTTTAGGTTTCCTTCATACAACCCGAAAGGAGATAACTTTACTTCTTCCTTTCCAATTTGGGTACTTTTCATTTCTCCTCCTTGCCTAATGGCTCTGAATCGTCCTGTACTATGTGGAACAGAAGTGGCAACATTGGGCACTGAAGCTTTTATTAATATATAATGTCCTTCTTTGCCTCTTATAACCTTTTAAAGTTTAAATTTTATTTTGTCCGATATTAACGTAGTCACTCCTGCTCTTTTGGCTACTTTTTGCATGGAATATCCTTTTCTACTCTTTTACTTTCAGTCTATTCTAGTCCTTAAATAGACCCTTAAATCTCTAAGGTGAGTCTCCCGTAGACAGCATATAGTTGGAACATGTGTTGTGTATCTATTCTGCCAAACTCTGTGTTTTGATTGGAGGTTCAATTCACTGATATTTAAAGTAATTACAGTCAGTTCTCTGTGTCCCTGGGTTCTGCATCCATGGATTCAACCAACCACACATTGGCAATATTTATTTTAAAAGATGAACAGCTGTATCTCTAGTTAACATACATAGACTTTTTGTTTGTAATTATTCCCTAAGCAGTACAGCATAACAACGATTTACACGGCATTCGTCTTGCATTAGGTATCACAGATAATCTAGAGATGATTCCCAGTGTGTGGGAGCGTGTGTGTAAGTCACACGCAAATACTGTGCTTTCTGAAAAATGGACTTGAGCATCCACAGGTTTTGGTGTTCTCGGGGCATCCTGAAACCAAACCCCCATTGGAACTGAGGGGCAACTGCACTGATAAAGAGGAAATGACTTTTGTCATTTTGTCATTTTCTTTGCACCTTACAGCTTTTTTGTCCCCTATTTCCTGCATTACTATCTACTTTTCTGTTGAGTTTTTTGTGGGGTTTTTTTGAGTCAGGATCTCACTCTGTTGTCCAGGCTGAAGTGCAGTGGCACGATCATGGCTCCCCACAGCCTTGACCTCCTGGGCTCAGGCAATCCTTCCACTTCAGCCTCCCAAGTAGCTGAGACTACAGGTGTATGCCACCACCCCTGGCTAATTATTTGGCTTTTCTGTGGAGACACGATCTCGCTATGTGGCCTAGGCTGGTCTTAAACTCCTGGGCTCAAGCGATCCTCCCACCTCCACCTCCCAAAGTGCTGGGATTATAGGTAGTGCAATGTTTAAATTTTTTTTCTCATTTCCTTTTGTGTATTTTCTATAGCTATTTTTTTTGCAGTTGCCATGGGGATTGCACTTAACATCCTAAAGTTTTAATGCTCTAATTTGAATTTAGATCAGCTTAAATACAAAAACTCTGCCACTTTACAGCTCCGTCACCACCCTTTTCAGTTATCCATGTCACAAAATTACATCTTTATATATTGTGTGCTCCCAAACATAAACTAATAATTCTCTTAAATGAATTAGTCTCCTATTAATTCTAGCTGTTAGATTAATAATTGTTTTTATAAAATGATATTAATCTCTTAAAGCATGTAGAAAGCAAAAAGTGGAGTTACAAACCAGTACAACGATATTAGCTTTTATAATTGCCCATGTATTTACCATTATTGAGATCTTTATTTCCTCCTATAGCTTCAAGTTACTGTCTAGGGGCCTTTCATTTCACCCTGCATGGGTACCTTAAGCATTTCTTGCAGGATGGGTCTCAGCTTTTGTTTTTCTAGGAATAGCTTAATTTCTCCTTCACTTTTGAATAATTTTGTTGTTGTTGTTGTTTGAGGTTGCATTACTGGTCAGCTGGAAGACACTTTTGCCAGATATTGGTTTCTTAGTTGATAGTTTTTAAATTTTTACTTTTAACCCTTTGCCTACTGTCTTCTGGCCTCCAACGTTTCTGAGGAGAAACCTGCTAGTAATCTTTTTGAGACTCTCTTGTCTGTGAGTCGCTTCTCTCTTGCTGCTTTCAAGAATTGCTCTGTCTCTGGCTTTTGAAAGTGTGATTATAAGCCGGGCTCGGTGTCTCAGCCTGTAATCCCGCGCCTTTGGGAGGCTGAGGTGAGTGGATTGCCTGAGCCCACGGGTTCGAGACCCGCCTGGGCAGCGAGACCTCATCTCTACAATAAATCAAAAATTAGCCGGGCGTGGTAGCACGCGCCTGTAATTCCGGCTACTCGGAAGGCTGAGGCGGAAGGATCGCCGGAGCCCAGCAGGTCGAGGCTGCGGTGGCCGGGAGTGGCCACTGCACTCCAGTCTGGGCGACAGAGTGAGACTCCA